GCAGAACTGCTGTGAGCTGGAGGCCGTCTGGGCTCCAGGTTAGCCAGGCCCACGCAGCAAGACACAAGCATAAAAATCCTGAGAGTAAAAGACAGTTTTGTTTTCAGACGGAGTTTCTCTGTGTAGCTCTGGCTGTCCTGGAACTCATTCTGTAGAACAGGTTAGCCTTGAACTCAGAAATCTACCTGCCTCTGCCTTCCGAGTACTGGGATTAAAAGTGTGTGCCACCACATTTATGTGGCCATGGTCCCATGCTGAGATTACTCTGAACTACTACTCTGAATACACTTTCCCTGCTGTGGCTCACACTAGAAACTCCCAGCCTGTACTGCAGGGTCTCACAGACTACGCAGCTGTGAACGTTTCTCAAAGGTCCTGGTGCAGGTATTCAGTTTCTTACAGGCCCGTCCTAAGAATGGAATTGATGGCTCATGGGGTGTGTCAGTTTTGCAAAATAATACTCAGCTGTTTTCCCAGAGTACTCACAGCAATTTACTCCCACCCACTGGGGATCAGTTCCTGTTGCTCCATTTGCTCAACACTTGATACGGTCTGACTTGAGATTTTTGCTGGTCAGGTAGGCATTAGGGGCACTTGTTTTTCTGATTTCTAATCAAATTGAACCCTTTCCATATGCTGTTTTAAATTCCTCCCTTGGGGCTGCTTTTCAGCTCCTCTACCAAGTTCCCTATTATGTTGTCCCTTGCTTTTTCAGTACTAGGGATTGAACCCATCGGCTCATGAATGCTAGGCACCTACCACACAACTATATCCCCCAGCCTGTGTCCCTGTGCGCATGTGTGGTGAGGGATGAATCCTTGTGGACTTGTGGAGGCCAGAGGAGGATGTGAGGTCCTTCACTGCTCTCCACTCTACTTGTTAAGAGGCTCTCTTATTGAGCCTGAAGCTGTTTTAGCCAGGCTGGCCAGTCATCTCCTTGGATTCTCTCTGCCCTGCAGCAATGGAGTGATGGTTCTAAAGACACATGCAACCGTGCCTGGTTTTAGGTGGGTGCTTTGGATTTGAACTTGGGTCCTCTTGCTTTCACAGCAAGTGTTTGTGTCCCTGAACCATCTCCACAAACCATTTTCTTTAGGAGATAGTTTCATGCACCCTAGACTGGCCTGGAACTTGCTTTGTAGCTAAGGATGGCCTTCAACGTCAGATCCCATGCTCGTACCTCCCTCATTATTGAGGCATGCACCACCACAAGCCCTGTACCAACTGAGCCACGTCTCAGACAGTTCCTTGACTGCAGCTCTGATATGAATTCTGGGTGGGAAAAAAAGAAAAAAGAAAAAAAGAAAAAAAGCCGGGAGATGGTGGTGGTGGCGCACGCCTTTAATCCCAGCACTTGGGAGGCAGAGGCAGGCGGATTTCTGAGTTCGAGGCCAGCCTGGTCTACAGAGTGAGTTCCAGGACAGCCAGAGCTACAAAGAGAAACCCTGTCTCGAAAAACTAAAAAAAAAAAAAAAAAAAAAAAAAGAATTCTGGGTGGGGATTTTAACAATAAGAATATCCTCATCCAGGGCTGGAGAGATGGCTCAGCCGTTAAAGGCTAGGCTCACAACCAAAAATAAAAGAATATCCTAATCCACACTGTGTTCATCTTTTTACTCAGATTTTAGATTAAGTTTCTAGTTTTAATAGAGACCATCTCATTTTTTTTTTCCTCCCTTGAGGCAGGGTTTTTCTGTGTATAGCCTTAGCTGTCCCGGAACTCACTATGTAGACAAGGCTGGTCTCAAACTCACAGACCCACCTGCCTCTGCCTCCCAAGTGCTGGGATTAAAGGTGTGTGCCACCACCACTAGGCAGAACAGAGACCATCTTATTAACCTTCCTTTTATCCTGTGATCATGAGAACTGTCTCATACTATGCCCAGTCTTGTCTTGCCATCCTTGCCTTCCTGGAAAGTAAACATGCAGAAAAGCATTCCATTTGTACTACAATCAAGTCACTGCTCAATGACACTTTCTGCTGGAGGAATGAACACCAAGCAGGAATCACTGCTACACAGCACTGTACTCCTGGTCCCACAACCTTCCCAGATGAAGCTCAAAAGGCACAGCATGGGTTACATGACAGGGTTACAGGCCCCACTCTGAGCTCCAGTGGCTATTTTCTTCAAGTTTAAGGGCAAATTAGCTTTCCTGAGCCCCAAGTCTCTTCACCTTTCCAAAGTAAAAAATTGAAGAAACACAAAGACACTCGCTTCAGGGTTGGTTCACAATGGGAATGAGCTTGAAAACAATAGGACTGGAACTTGGTTTTCAAGTTTAACCATTTCCTTCCACGTCTAGGATAGATTGGCAGATGGCAAAAGTCCCACCCTTCTTCCCAGAGGCTAACAGAGCACATGATATGATGACTGGCAGGTGAACTCTTACCCACATCCTACTCACCCACTTCCTGGTACCTTTGACTCCCACTGACTTTTCCACCAGGTGCTGCCTAGACTGAATGTTGACTTGACATCTGGAAGCCTACAGCCTACAGCCTACATACAGCCAGGAGGAAAAAAAAGCCAACCCACACTCTGTCCCACACTATTTAGGGATTGGGACACCCAGGGCACCTGCCCAAGGCCCACATCGTTAGGGTGGCTCCCTCCTGGGAGGGGAAATGGAAGGCACCAGTTTCGGTCTGCACTGATAAGAAATAAAACAGATGTGCTGAGTCCTGGGAAGACACAACTCCTTAGCCCATCTGCTCTCTGACTCGGAACACCAAGTATGAAGGCCACTGACTTTATTAATTTAAAAATCTTTTATAAGGACAGTGACTGTTTTTGCCAAAAAAAGGAAAGGAGCCAAAGGGCATCCAACAGATGGTGAAGGGAGGGAGAGGGGGCCAGGAATCCATTCAGGAAAGCTCGTAGCTGTTGTCTTGGACCTGCAAGGGGGGTGGGGAGTGGAAGGGGAACGCATGCAAGGGAAAGAATTCCAGAAAGGTTGAAATGCTGAGGGGAGAGAACTCCCAGAAGACCCTGGAGTATATAAGAGGTGAGGATGACAACAGCCATCTTATTCCTTCATGGAGGACAGGGAGGAGCCCTGCCCTGCTGCAGACTCTGGAGACTCTATGCTATGGCTGGGGGGGCTGAGGGGTCCCCAAAGAACATTACAAGAAGGCATCACACCATTCTCGAAGGCACCCAAAGCAGTCCCGGGACTGCTTGGCATTGGCACCACATGTGTCTTTCAGCCATTCTCGGAAGAGGTCTTCATCTTTCTTTAGCACCAGAAACTGGCCAAGGACCACATAAGCCTGCAAAACAGAAAACGGCATGTAGCTAAGTATCTTATGGGCTAAAAGCAACATGACTGTCTACACTGATACCATTCTGAAGATACCAGATCTGTGAACCTAGGGAGGGTTAGTGAACACTTGAGAGGGCAAGGCCATTTTTCTTTTGGTTGTTTTAAGACAGGGTTTGTTCCTTTGTTGCCAGGGCTGGCATTAAACCCCACGGGAATCCTCTTCCCTCAACTTCCTAAGTGCTGGGGTCATAAACACAACCAACTATACCTAGTTTCATTTTGGTGACATTTAAAACACACAATAGGGCAGGGCACAATGGAACACACCTTTAATCCTAGCACTGAGAACCCCTGTCTCAACAAAACACAAAAATGAAAAAAGTGCCTTGTCTCCCCAGGTAACCCCCAAAACACTTCAATACATGTACTGCTGTCCGGGCCCTCTCCATACCCCTACTTTTTCTCACTCCCAATCTGCTTGGTAACATCTGTCGACAACCTTCACTCTTACCCCTCCCTGGCATTTGCAGCCACCCCGCACCTTGTCAAAGCCTCTTTCTTCCAGCCTCTTGCTAAGGATATCACCAATCCCGGCCAGGCTCCCCACTGGCTTTTCCCCCATGGGCTCTGCCACGAAGTCTCGGTGCTTTTGGGAGGTTGTCATCTTGATCAGGCTTAACCTGGGAATCCCAAAAAAAAGCAGGTTAGGGCTGAAGACCACAACTCCCAAGGGCAATATCCTATGACAGCTACTGTGGCTTCCTTGAGTGCCCTCATTATACACATTCGAAAACTGAGGGCCAGGGAACGTACCCCAAAACCCTCATCCCCGCTATTCAGAAATTTCCACTTTCTGTGGATCCTGGGTTTAGGTACTGACCCGATGGATATATTAGCTTGCACTACTAACAGGTGGTGCACGTAAGGCAACAGTTAGATTCCCAGACTCAGTAGCCAAGGTCTACCCTGAAGCTCTCACTCTCGGTGACCTTGGCCAGACAGATACTGACCCCGTTGGGATCTACCACGTGGTAGGAATGACCAGAGGCCCTCGCTACCCTCACCGCCCTCCAGAGGCGGACAAGCGCGGCACACACGCTCCGGCGGCCCGCCGAAGCCCACGCCTCTCTGGTCCCACAGGCCCCGCCCCAAGCGCGCCGCCCCGCCTCCTCCACGCGCCGCCGCCCCTACATGCCGCGCACGGCCCCTCCCGCAGACTCGGGCCGCTCCACTGCAAAGGCGCGCCTCTATGATGGCCTCCTCTCCCTCCCGCCTCTGCGCGCCGCCACTGCCCTCCAGCCGGAGCCCCGCTTCACTTCTCACGCTCACCGGCAGCTCCGGCTCTGATAACGGCTCCTCGCGCCACTCGGCAGCTCCCGCCGATACCTCAAGCTACAAGAACGGTCTTCGACTTCCGTTTCCGGGTCGTTTTATGAGCGCCCTCAAAATAATCCCCAAACTGGGCACGTCTAGCCACCCGAAGCCATAGAGTTGAAGCACAACGGCTAGCCGTGGGGCCCACAGTAGTCCCTGTTTTCAGAGCCCTCTCAGGAAGCCACTCTGCTTTCGATGGATTTTGTTTCTCAAGCAGCTCTTCCCGTCTGTGGGATTGAGGCCTCCGAGAAGTTTTTTTCTGCCCAGTATCGGAACTTAGGTTTGTCTTACTTGATGGAGGGAAGCGTTAAAGGAACGGACAAAGCGGGGGCGGGGCATCCGGAGAGCCTCTGAGAGCCCCGGAAGTGCAATTCACGGCGCGGTTTCCTCAGAGTCAGGTCTATCACCTCAAACCCGCAGACGGAAGATAGGAACACCGGAGGTTTGAGACCGAGCGTCCAAACCGGCGCTACCGTCGTGACCACCTGCAAGTCGCGTTTCTTTGCTTTTTGTTGACTCACTCTTGAGGTGAGTCGTGGACGAGTTGCTTTCACCGTCAACCTGGAAAACAGCTTGCTTGTGTAGCGCCGAGCGGGTGAGTGCTGTGGGTGGTTCTTTGCTCGAAGGGTCTTTTTGCGTCGTGATGGTCGCTGAGTCAATCTATGCCTGTGATGTGTTAGGAAGTCCTGCGTTGTATGGCTCTCCCAGACTTAGGGAAGTTCAAGCATGTGGAGGAACGTAGTTTATCTTAAACTTCTCCCAGAGAGGCTGTCAGAATGCTCGGTCCGGGAGGTGCGTGTGGTTTCATCATCACAACAGTACTTAGAAGTAGAACTCATAGGACTTGCCCTGTGCTGGGCGTTTTTCCATGATCTCACTTTATTTACTTGTTTGTTTGTTTGTTTGTTTGTTATTGAGAGGGCATCTCACTACGTTAGCCATGCGGCCCTCGGCTCCACAGAGATTCATCTGCTTCAGCCTCCATGGTTTGGGGTTAGAGTGCTGAGGTTGAAGGCTTGAGCCACCTTTACATCCCTTACGTGATTTTGAAGATTTACCGTATGGGTGGTGTTGCAAGTGCCCTTGGAAGCCAGAAGAGGGCATTGGCTCCCCTAGAATTGGAGTTCAAGATGGTTGTGAACCATCTGATGTGGGTGCTGTCTCATAGAACATCTCTCTGGCCCTTAAAGGTCATGCTTGTTTGTTTTTGGTTTAGGGTCTTCCTATTTAGACTAGATTGGCTTAGGACTCAACAAATACCTGCCTACCTCTCCCTTCAAGTGCTGGGAATAAAGATGTACACCAGCACTTGGGTTAAGTTTGTGGTTTTTTTTTTTTTAATGATTTTACTCATTTTTTATGTATATCAGTGTTTTTACCTGCATATGTGTCTCCAAAAGAGGGCGTTGAATCCCCTGTGAGTGGGATTAATTTGAGTGCTGGGAAACATACCTGGTTCTCTGCCAGAGCAGCAAGTCCCACAGTCCTCTAAGGTGCATGTTTTTTAACAGGGCAAGGTGGCACTTTTTCGTATAAGGCTGCTTCTCTTGAAAGCAGTCCTGGCTTCTAAGACTGGCATCCAAGTAGTTCTAGAAGAAGAGCTGACAGTCTGTGCACCCTAACGACCCTGGACAGAAGCCAGCATGTCTCAGGCCAGCAAGAGGAAGCATGTGGTGCAGGAGGTGTTGGGGGAGCACATGGTGCCTTCCGACCAACAGCAGATAGTGAAAGTGAGTACTTCTCCCATTGGACCCCTGGGATGTGGAAGGGGGGGCTCACTGCAGGTCGGAGGATGCTTGCTCTAACGGATGATGTGGCTAGTTATTGTTCTTTTCTGGACCAGGTCCTCAGGACTCCTGGGAACAATCTGCATGAGGTAGAGACAGCACAAGGGCAGCGCTTCCTGGTGAGCATGCCCTCCAAATACCGCAAGAACATCTGGATCAAGAGAGGTTAGAAGCGTCCCTCTGCAGTACAGAACCATAACCTTGATTTCCTGCTTCACAACAGGAGTGGCTTTTATCCTTTATCATCTACAGGGGACTTCCTCATTGTTGACCCTATTGAAGAAGGAGAAAAAGTAAAGGCTGAGATCTCTTTTGTGCTCTGCAAGAACCACGTCCGCTCTCTACAGAAAGAGGGTCACTGGTAGGAAGATCTTAATCAGTTGCCCTCTGGCTTCTGGGGATAGTATTATCCTAGGTAGGGAATGGGGGTGGGGTGTGAAGGAGAAGGTTATGCCATCCCAAGAGGAACATTTGGAAACAGTTGTTTCACTGAGAGGCTTCTCTGCTCTCTAACCTGGATCTTCTCTTGTCACAGGCCTGAAGCCTTCACTGAGGTAGCTGAGAAACAGAACAATATGAACAGGTAAGGATCAAGCCCCCAGCCCAGGGAAGACAAGAAGTACAAGTTCACACCTTGGTGCCTCAAGGAGAAAAGGGATCTTGCTTTTCTCTTGTTGAGAACTTCAGTACATGTAATAGAATGGGTAGTTATGAGTGTGGCTGGAAGGTCACATGGTAAAATGCTGGCTTTGCTACCTAATAGACAAGGGACTTCAGATGCATTTGTTAGTACTGTAAGAAGGTTCTCAACTGAATGTGGTTGGGCATGCCTGCAGTTCTAGATCAGGAGTTTGAGGCCAACATGAACTACTCATAACAGTTTCAAAGCCAACCTGGAGTACAGGAAACCTTTTTTCAAAAATTGCTTAGTGCAGCAATCCTCACCTATGGGTCAAGACCCCTTTGAGGGTCACATGTCAGATATTTAAATTATTATTCATAACAGTAGCAAAATTACAGTTATAAAGGAGCATTGAAATAATTTTATGGTCAGGGTCACCACAACGTGAGGAGCTGTTAAAGAGTCGCAGCCTTAGGAAGCTGTTCGTGCATCCGCTGTTAGTGCATCCGCTGTTCGTGCATCCGCTGTTAGTGCATCCGCTGTTAGTGCATCCGCTGTTAGT